AATTTTCGGTCACGAAGGTCACCTGTTGGTAAGTACCAAAGGGTTGTAGTTACGTCGATTTTTGTTGGTCCGATTCGGAATGGCGCATTTTCTTCAGGTTCTTTCTCAATATATTTCAGGTGCCGTTTGAACACTCTATTGTCATCGCTATCTTCGCCAACTAACGTTTCTCGATCGTCTTCATCCGTTATTTCATTCGTTCCTTCTATCTTATCATACTCCTGATAATAGGTAAATGCCTTACATCCTTCCTCTTCGAAGCCGATTCCATTTTGGTAACAAGTGCCAAGAATTTTATCCGTATCAGCAGATGGTGGAGGTTCTCCAGGATTGATTGGGTAGAGCTTCTTTAGCTCTTCGTTGCCGTCTTTTATCATTCTCTTGAATTCATTAACCTTTTTAATCCACTCTTCATAGGCTTTATCGAGACCTTTTCCATTTCGATCGGATCGTAGAATCTTTCGGGATCAACATGGCTACCCAAACCGTCGTCCACGCTTTTCATATACCGTTCAGGTACCTTAGGGTTATCCTTTTCAGTTTTAATTCCATTTTCTTGGCCAATTTCGAGGTTATTCTGTCCTTTCGAATTGCCTTCTTCAGACGATTTCAGGTCCCATTCAAACGTTTTATTTTCGTCTTTTTCAACATCAATCCCATTCTGCGAGCAAGGTCCAAGGTCAGCTTCTTTATTAGCACAATCCGTAACAGCAGGCCTTCGAGGGCTATTGAATGCTCTATATTGGTCCTTTTCAACATCGATCCCCTTAAATGTTTCTTTGGCCAGTTCCATTTCGGTAGGTCCTTTTATTTTGCACGTGGCCATTCGGTATTCATCAACTTTTCTTAGCCATTCTTCACACTTACGGTGCAGTGCTTCTTTTTCCAGGGACTTTTCGGATATATCGTCATTTATTCTTTCGTCATCCCCATCATTGTTACAAATCAGCGTCTCAGGATCACTTTTATCCGTAGTTTCGTCATCGTCGATTTCTTCGGACCTTGTGGATACGTTTTCTACTTGCTTTTCCTTTTTCTGCTCCAATTCGTTTAATCTCAACTTATTAACGGCATCCACTTCAACTGACTTTTGATAATAGGTGAACGGCTTATATTCGTCCTTTCTAACTTCCATTCCATTTTGCTGGCAGAGTTCGAGACCATATTTTCCATATTTTCCCTCCGAATTACCACGTTCCGCATATTTTAGGTAGGTTGCTGTGGGTTTCTTTTCGACCTTTATTCTCTTATCCTTACCCTTTTTAACTCCAATTACTTTTTCGTAGCAGGGTTCAACAAGATATGTTCCATTAGTATCACCCGTATCTGCAGTCTTTCGATAATAAACGAATGTATCGTGATCGTCACTTTCGATACCAATTCCATTTTTATTGCAACACCCAAGGTTGCCTTTTTCATTATCACGATTCATTTCTGCCGGGTCTTGATGGTAGGTAGGCACCTTATGTTGATCTTTTGCGACTCCAATTCCATTGTCATCCTTTTCCATGTTAGGTCCGTTTTGATAACAGTATTTCTCAAGCTCTTTCGGTTTAGACATCCAAGTTTCCAAGGTTTCCAAATAACCGTCGATCAGACTTTCTAGGGCAATGTCAGTGTCAGAGTTACCGATTTCAGCTGTTACTTCCGGGGTGGGATATAGGTCAAGTACTTCAGTAATCGGGCCCTTCTTGTACCGGACGGTGTTGAAAAAACTTCTGGGATAGGTTTTACTGGGAATGGTCTTTTCTTTTTCGTGGCTGGGGTCACTTGGATGTAAGACGGTAAGTATAGAATAGGCACTTCCTCATCATTTTTATCATTTATCATGTCTCCTATTACTTCCAATGTAAGCACCAGGGCTTCGGGAATCTGCTCAACGTCGAGGGTATCTCCGAAATTTTCATTTATCATTTCTTGGACCACTTCGATTTGCTCTGAAGTAAGTGTTCGAAGGAGCATTGTACATTCGTCATCTAATTTTCTTACATCTGGACATGTAGACACGTTATGTCCTTTCTCATTACAATAGGTGCACCAGGATCTTTTTCGAAAGGTTCTTCGTTGTGGTTCATAACGCCAGGACTTCTCTTGCACTTGCTGCGATTGGGTCTCTCTTGTTTGATACTGGGCGCTTTTCTTCCAATGTTGAAATGGTCTGGCTTGACTAATGGTAGGTGTTTGGTTTCGGTGATAGTAAAAATCCATTTTGATATGGTTAAAAATTCATTTTCATACGTATTTTATAGATGATTTGATTTGAGTTTGTTTATTTGTTAGGGAAGTTCAATCTCACTGTCACCACCAAATGTAAAAGGGGAAAATATCCTCTGGTCCTAGATAATGCCGGTATGCACTACTACACAACACTAATAAAACTAAAACTAACTAATCTACTCTAACCAGAACACCACAACTAATATAACCAAGCCCTAGTAGTGGTAGGCAACGATCGAGGCGTGGTAAGACTTGGTCCGAGTAACTAGGGTGAATTGGGTTCTTAGTAATAGTGTCGGATTAGAGCTCTTGATTACGTCACGA